GTCAACGGGGACGTCAACGAGGTCAACGGGGACGTCAATGAGGTCAACGTGGTCAACGGAGTCAACGGGGACGTCAACGGGGTCAACATGGTCAACGGGGACGTCAACAGAGTCAACGGGGACGTCAACGAGGTCAACGGGGACGTCAACGGGGTTGGGGGCATCTTCAAGAGCATCAACGGGGTCAACGTGGTCAACGGGGACGTCAACGGGGGCGTCAACGGCATTGGGGGCGTCTTCAAGAGTGTCAACGACGTCAACGGGAGCATCGTCGTTGACGTCGACGGGGTTGGTGGCATCTTCAAAGGGATCGTCGTTGACGTCGACGGGGTTGGTGGGATCTTCGCAATGGAAGAGTCAACAGGGGCGTCAACAGGGTTGGTGGTGGCATCTTCGAGGGCGTTGACGGCGTCAATGGAAGAGTCAACGGGGGCGTCAACGGCGGCGTCATCGAGGGGGTCAACGGGGGAGTCAACGGGGTCATCGATGACGGCGTCGATGGGGTCAACGGTGGAGTCAAGGTCAACGATAGGGTCAACGGGGTCAACAAGGTCAACGATGGGGCCAACAAAGTCAACGATAGAGTCAACGAAGTCAACGATAGAGTCAACGATGGGGTCAACGAGGTCAACGATGGGGTCGCCGAGGTCAACGGCGGAGTCAAGGTCAACGATGGGGTCAACGAAGTCAACGATAGAGTCAATAATGGAGGCAACGAGGTCAACGGCGGAGTCAAGGTCAACAATGGGGTCACCAAAGTCAACGATAGAGTCAACAAAGTCAACGATGGGGTCACCAAAGTCAACGATGGGGTCGACAAGGTCAACGGCGGAGTCAAGGTCAACAATGGGGCCACCAAAGTCAACGATAGAGTCAACAAAGTCAACGATGGGGTCACCAAAGTCAACGATAGAGTCAACGAAGTCAACGATAGACTCAAGGAGGTCAACAATGGAGTCAACGAGGTCAACGATGGGGTCAAAGTCAACGATAGAGTCAACGAAGTCAACGATAGAGTCAACGAAGTCAACGATAGACTCAAGGAGGTCAACAATGGAGTCAACGAGGTCAACGATGGGGTCAAAGTCAACGATAGAGTCAACGAAGTCAACGATAGAGTCAACGAAGTCAATGATAGAGTCAACGAAGTCAACGATAGACTCAAGGAGGTCAACGATAGACTCAAGGAGGTCAACGATAGAGTCAAGAAGGTCAACGATGGGGTCAACAAAGTCAACGATAGAGTCGAGGAGGTCAACGATGGGGTCAACAAAGTCAACGCTGGGGTCGCCGAGGTCAACGTTGGGGTCGCCGAGGTCTCCGTCGTCGCCGGCGCCCCCTCTGCCCGTCCCCAACACTTGCGGCGAATGTTGGCAGAGCTTTGGGCAACCCTCGGACCTGGTGAAGCACATGAGGATCCACACGGGGGAGAAGCCCTACCCCTGCCCCCACTGCGGCAAACGCTTCAACGTCTCCTCCAACCTCATCCGCCATCGCCGCATCCACACGGGGGAGAGGCCCTACCCCTGCCCCGACTGCGGCAAGAGCTTCACCGACAAGTCCACCTTGGTCCAACACCGTCGCGTCCACACGGGGGAGAAACCCTACCCTTGCGCCCGTTGCGGCAAGGCCTTCAGCAGGAGCTCCCACCACAAGAGGCACCAACGGACCCACGTCGGCCAGGACCCCCGTGCTCTCCTGCCCCTCTGGGCCTACCCCGGGCAGGCCTGCTGAGGGGGTCACGGGGGGGTTTTGGAGGCATCTAAGGGGGGTTTGGAGGCATCTAAAGGGGGTTTGGGGGGGTTTGGAGGCATCT